TAGAGGCTCCTCATATTGATTCAGTTCCGGTGGTGAGGGACTTTTCCGATGTATTTCTTATGGCCGGACATGTCTCCAGGCAAGGTTGTTGATTTTGGTATTGATTTGATGCTGGGCACCGTATCATATGGCACCGGCAGAGTTAAGAAGTTGAAGGAGCAGCTTCAGGTTTCCTTGATAAGTAGTTCGTTGGCAGGCCAATGTGGATGCGTGTTCTAATTGGAGTCGGCTTGGTTGGCTCCGAGTTGTATTGTTGGGGGATGTGTTGATTCGATTGTTATTGAGCTTATTAGTAATCTGGGGAGATTTATGAGCTGCATTTCTGTGTTGCGAGGTGTTATAATCTGTTGGTTATAGGCACATATGGTATGATTCTATTGAAGATTCATAGTGGAAGTCGAGCGGGGAGAGTAATTGGGTGTAGCTTGGTGAATGGCGTATCGGTTATGTCCTTTCGGTTGTGTGATGTATGTTATTGGCTTTACCGTGGGTATGATGATTTGCTTTGGTTCCAAACATCAATTTGCACGTGGTTGTCGATTTCGAGCATAGTGACCTTGCGGGTTAGATTCGTGTGTTCTGTTCCTATAATGTGAGATGGGTTCTCAGCCTTGTGTTGTGGTGGTACTGGTGAGCTTGAGGTATAGCTCTTTCATTTGAGTCATTTTCATGATTTGAGTATGTTTGGACTGTTGCTTATCGATGCGCGTATTGTGCAAGTTGTGGCTTAGGCATGTATTGATGTGTCATATCACTAGAGTAGTATGTTGGATTAGATGAGATCGTTGGTATCATTAATGAATACGAACGAATTCGATTTCGACATGTTAGAAGGATAATATCGAGCTCCGGCTCAGAAAAATTGCTATGGTCTCTTCCAAAGGAGAAGTGGCTTCATGAATGGTTGATCTGAGAAATAGTTAGGGCTTACTGTGTGGTTTATTTATCATTGGCAATATATGAAAGTGTGGGAATGAGACTTTAGTTGATAAGAGGTTTTCCATCGGTATTCGGTTGTTATGTGCAGCTGTTGTGATTAGAAGTTATTGCTGCGAGTGTTTGAGTTATGTGGTATATAATGTGATTGCACTTGAGATAGTAGATATGATTTTTTACAGCTTGTTTGGACTTATTCATAGTATAAATGTGAGATTCTGATAGTATTGAGGATATAGAAGCAGAAATGTGGTTCTATGGTTTATGGACTAGGATGGATTGTGAAATTTCAGTTATATTATGTTATCGAACCTATGTGAGATAGGGTGACGTGGGATCACCCCCCGAGTATGTGCATGGTGAGGTTATTCAGCGATTGGTTAGCTTTTAGAACAACTATGGGCACGTTCGAGGACGAATGTATGTTTAAGTGGGGATGATGTAACGACCCGACCGGTCGTTTTGAGCTTTTGCACTTTGATCATCAGTTCTCGGGCATGACTTGCCCCGTGTGGTGTATTATGACTTATGTAAATCATTGGTTTTGGTTTTCAGGGTAATCGACATGAAATTTGGAAGAACAGTTCTCAGTTTGAAGCTTGTAATTCGAAAAGTTTGACCAAGATTTGACTTGTTTGTAGATGATCTCGGATCAAAATTTTTATGATTTGGTTAGCTCCGTTAGGTGATTTGGGACTTAGTAGCATGATCGAAATGCATTTTGGAAGTCCGTGGAAGGTTTAGGCTTGAATTGGCGAAATTGAGATTTCAGCGTTTTCCGGTTGATAGGTGAGATTTTGATATAGGGGTTGGAATGGAATTCCGAGAGTTGCAGTAGCTTCGTCGTGTCAGTTGGGATGTGTGTGTAAAATTTCAGGTCATTCGGACGTGGTTTGGTTGGGTTTTTGATCAAAAACGTATTTCAATAGATTTTTGAAACTTAGGTTTGAATCCTATGTGATTTGGTAGACTCGATGTTGTTTGAAGTGTTTTGATGATTGGAACAAGTTTGTATAAGGTATTTGGTTATATTTGTGCTTTTGGTTGAGGTCCCGAGGGTTTCGGGGTGATTTCGGATGGTTAACGGGAAGATTTGAACTTGGGTGATTGCAGAAAATTTGCTGCTTCTGGTGTTTTCGCACCTACGGTTTGGGGACCACATGTGCGGTGCCGCACGTGCGGAAGGGGAGCCGCAGAAGCGGATTTGGGAAGAATAGTCAGGGACGTAGATGCGATATATGGACCGCACCTGCGGAGTCGCAGATGCGACGCGTGGACCGCAGATGCGGAATCTGGTCCCTTAAGTGATTTCCGCAGAAGCGGATGCTAGACCACAAATGCGGTACCGCAGAAGCGGTTGGTGAGTCGCAGATGAGACAATGTCTGGGCAGAATGTATATAAGCTTGCCTTCGCGATTTTTGAAGGTTTTCACCATTTTTGACTTCGGCTTGAGAGCTTTTGAAAGATTTTGAAGGGAGATTTCAATGGAACTTCGTTAAGGTAAGAATTTTGGACCTAAAACACATTTCTATGGTAGTATTTCATGGATTAAGACTGAAATTAAAGGAATCAAAATGCTAAAAATGGAGGATTAGGGCTTAAGTTTAAGAGGCCTTAAATTGAGGATTTGAGGGGTCATTTGAACTCCGATTTTGGTATTCTTGATATGCATAGACTCGTAGAGAGATGGAGAATCTATTGATGTAAAATTTTTTGATTTTCGAGAAGCGGGCCCGGAGCTCGGGTTTTGCTAATTTCGGGATTTGTGCACTTTTATTGATTGTTTTCGCTTGGGCTTGGTTCCCTTAGCATATGTTGACGTACTCGTTCCGATTTTGGATAGATTCGACGCGCGTAAAGGCCAATTCAAGGGGCAAAGGCGTCGCGAGCTAGAGATTTAGCCGGTTCGAGGTGAGTAATGATTGTAAATGATGCTCTAAGGGTTTGAAACCCCGGATTGCACATCGTTGTGCTATATTGAGGCGAGACACACGTTGGATGACGGACGTAGGGTCGTGTACTATTGGGGATTGTGACTTGGTCTGTCCCGATTGATGATTTTACCGCGTATTTGACTAAAAACTATTTGCTATCATCATTATTTGGGCTGAATGCCATATTTGGGCCTAGTGCCAGCTATTTGGACCCTTCGGGGAATTTTTTTTCTGTCGATATTTCCTCATTGTTTTGACTTTATACTTGAACTCAGTCATGTTATTTTCCACTGTTTTCAAAACTTAGCCATTTTTACTCCGTTTTGAGACTTAAAGGATGTTTTTAAATGATATTTTGGGCTGAGCATCATGTTTTACTATTGCCCGAGTAGCTTATGTGATTTTTGACTGAGTAAGGCCAATGGCTTATATCGTGAGGATACTTTTGGGTCGGGCTGCACGCCGTAGCAGTGAGATACTGATTTGATTATGAAGCCGAGGGCCTGTTTATGATGCCACGGGGTGGCTTGTTGATATTGATATAAGGATGAGGGCTTGTTTATGATGCCACGAGGTGGCTTGATATTGCGTTTGGGCCGTAAGGGGCCCCTCCCGGAGTCTGTACACCCCCAATGAGCGTGGATACCTATTGTGATGTGAGATATAGCCTGAGGGGCTGATATTGTACTATGTGATAGCCCGATGGGATGGTATTGTTTTATGTGATGGCCCGAGGGGCTGGTACTATTCTATGTGATTGGCCGAGGGGCTGTTATTGTTCTGAGATATTGCCCGAGGGGCGGGGTTGTTGACATTATGCCCGAGGGGCGAACCTTTATGTGTTTACCTTTCATATTTACTTGTCATTTTACCTGTTAAGCTATGGTGTTTCTGCCCGATAGGCGGATTTTCTGTGCTTATATGCACAAACGGTTTTGCATTCATTTGCGTAATTGTTGAAAAAGTCATTTTCAAAGATGTTTAAACTGAGCTAAGATATTTTAATAGATTTTTGCAGCCTCACTGTTTTCCTTACTGATTTTGGACTGCTTCTATACAACATCTTGATATGCTTTACGTAATTTCTTGCCTTCAGTCTTTATTTATATTTGTTACTCACTGAGTTGGAGTACTCACTTTACTCCATGCACCTTGCGTGCAGATTCAGGTATTTATACACCCGGTAGCGGGTTTTGGCTGATCGGAAGCAGGGTCATCGGAGTTTAGCAAGGTAGCTGCTGGCGTTCGCAACATTGCTCTTCTCTCTCTTCATTTCATTAGTCCGTATTTGTAAACTTCACGCCTTCAGTTGTATTTATACCCCAGTAGATGCTCGTGACTTGTGATACCCCGGTTAGGGCTGTGTTGGGTTGTACTTCTGCACTTGTTTGTCATTATTCGCTACTTGGTATTGCTATATCATGTTTTAGACTGCTTTTATGTTATTTAACTTTTTAAAAAGATGAATTGGGTTAAGTGGCTGGCCTTGTCTTCATGAGAGGCGCCATCACGACCGGATTTGGGTTTAGGGTCGTGACAAAAATGATATATATACTATGGGCCTAAGCTACTGACCCGTCCACTACCACTATTAACTATACAAAATAAAATTACACAAGTTGGGCTCCTTTGTGATGAGGCCCAGATGCCAAATATTCTCCCAGTTCAACACCCCCCCTCAAGTTGGAAGGGGAAACCACCTGCAACTTGCAAAGAAAATAGTGGTGACTCTGCCCAGTTAGAGGCTTGGTAAAAATGTCGGCAAACTACCTAGCAGTAGGAACATGAGCCAGATGAATGGGGCTATCATTTTACTTGGTCCGAATAAAGTGACAATCCATCTTAATGTGTTTGGTACGCTCATGGAAGACGAGGTTCTTTGCAATATGGACAACAACCTAATTATCACAAAATATAGAAACAGGACATGAGGAGACAGGAACATGCAAGTCAGCAAACAGACAAACTAACCAAGTCAACTCCGCAACCACTTTGTTGAGAGCTCAATATTCAGCCTCCACATAAGATAAAGAAACAATAGGTTGCTTTTTCGATTTCCAACCAATCAAGCAATCACCCAGAAAAATGCAAAAACCAGTCACAGATTGACGAGTATCAACACAGGCTGCTCAATCACTATCTGAGTAAGCAGTCAAAGTAAGGTCAGAAGAGCGTGAATAGAACAATCCTACATCAAGTGAACCTTTGAGGTATCTCAAAATGTGCAAGGCAATAACTATGTGGGGGACTCTAGGACACTTTAAGAACTGACTAAGGTGCTGGACAACAAAACAAATGTCAGGCCTAGTGTATTTGAGAAAAAGTAACCTCCCAATCAAACTCCTATAGGTCTCAGACTTGTCAAGAAGATCCCCAAAATCAACAAACAACTTCTTATGAAGTTCTAAAGGGCACACCACAGAAGAAACATCAGAACAAGCATATTCGGATAACAAATCAGCAGTGAACTTCTTTTGATTCAGGAGGAGACCAGAAGAATAATAAGGGATTTCAATACCCAAAAAATAATTCAAAGTGCCCAGATCTTTGATTCTGAATTGGTCATGTAAAAACATCTTCAAATCAAGAATAACATTAACTTCGTCACCAGTCAAAATTATATCATCAACATAGATAGCTAAAATAGTTAGTGAACCAGGAGAACCCATGACAAACAGAGAATAATCATTGATAGAATGAGTGAAACCCCTATAACATAAAGCCTGAGACAATTTGGCATACCATTGCCTAGAAGCTTAACATAGTCCATAGAGAGACTTTCTTAATCTACAAACTAAAGGAGCAGAAGATACAGGAGGTCCAGACACTGAAAGTCCGTGAGGCAATTTCATATAAACTTCTTCATTCAAATCCCCATGAAGAAACGCATTGTTAACATCCAATTGAACTAAATACCACTCTTGTTTAACAACCACTTCTATAAGAAACTTGACAGTGGACATCTTCACAACAGGGGAAACTAGCCTTATACCTTTCTACACCACCATCAGCTTTTTATTTCACCTTATAAACCCATTTGCAATTAATGGATTTCTTGCCTCTAGACAACTCTACAATATCCCAAGTGTGGTTGGCATCTAGAGCTTCAAATTTCTTTCTCGTTGCATCTTGCCAAGCAGGAATGGAGGCTGCCTGAGTGTCACACCTTCTTTTTTACCCGAAAGGGAATAAGTGAGTTTTTTCAAGTAAAGTGACGATAATCGAAATAGAATTATTTATTCAAATTCAGAGTCGCCATTTGGGATAAGTTATGGTATCTCAAGTCACCGGTTTAAAATCCCGAATCGATGAAAATTGACTATGTTTAAAGGTCCGCCAAACCAAAAGACCGGGTAAGGGATTCTGTTCACCCGGGAGAAGGTGTTAGGTATTCCTGAATTCTGTGGTTTTAGCACAGTCGCTTTAATCATATACCTGGCTTATTAAATTGTCTAATTATTATTTTTAAACCTACGTGCATCTACCCCCTTAACCGCTTTTATTTGCCTAATTATTCTTAATTATCTTTAAAAAACGAGTCATGTGCACGTGTACTCATTTTGTTTGGCGCGTCAAGAATCATGTCACGCATACGTACCCACAATTAATCATGCTTTATTAATATTAAGAAAGTTTGGTCGAAGTTGCGCGAACGCATACCTCGATTTATTTTTAGAATCATAATTATGTCACGCGGACGTGTACATAATCATGGTGATAGATTAAGTTATGCCTAAAGCAATCTACGATGTTCACGAATTATGTAATCCCTAATTCGACGATTGTATGAAAAGGTCTGTGATTATAGAGTACTTTTACTAATTTCAAGCAAATTCCCCTTTAAGCTTTTATTTCAAGCATTCAACCAAGCCCAATTCTTAAAGGATGTGAACAAATTAATCATTAATGGGATTTGGCCTCCCCACTTCAATATCCCAACAATCATTTAAAGACGAATCAAGTAAAATAAGCATCTCAAACATATAAACTAGAAGGAAAACACAAATAACAATTAAAGGAGATAAATGGGGGATCCAAGGATGATAAGAGCTTTAGCTTCCTATGTTAACCTACGTCAATTTGAACAACAAGCTAGGGTGTCGACTTCACTTTCATATAAAGATATGTGCAAATTAATTAACTTCAAATAGATAAAGAAACTGCTAGGGTGTCGACGTGCTTAAAAATATTGATTAACCCAAATTAAGGTGACGATAACCAAACCCATAACAGAAAAGATATCAAATCGTCCATCATAAACTCATTTCAAAGAGAGGAAGACAAACAAAAACTTTCTGAAAATTGCACATGAATGCACCAGTTTTCCGGTTTGATCAACAATCGCAAAATCAAACAAACCTCAGTTAGACATATAAACTACCCATCAAATCAAAACCAACGCGAGCCAATAGCACAGAATTTGACATAAAACTGTGCAGATCTGCTGCCTAAACAATGCAAAACCGGGCAGATTTTCAACAGGCTAACAGTTCAGACAAATGTCCAATATACTGCAGGTTATCGACTCAATTTACTGCTCAAATCGGCTGTCTTCGGTATCTCAAACGAGCAGAATTCTTTATAGCAGTAACAATGCAGATAGATTTTCGAACAAGAGAAGGAAAACAGAACAAATCCGAACACATACATTCAATGCGATTCAACATTAAACCACAATCACAGACATTCCAACTTTGTCAATTATCCAGGTTCAAACTCAATTAATCCAATGAAATAAACTCGAGAGCAATGAAGTAATCATCCTAGACCTTAGCTGTGTGATTGGTCTTCTAATTAACAAAGAGGAAAAGCACCAAATGCCATGTGGTTTCAAACAAAAAGGGATAACGGACTGAAACACGCAAGAATACCTTTCATGGAGGAAAGGATCTCGATGTGCAAATCAGGAATATCAATATTCAACAAACTCACTAGGTTGAAGTGTATGTTAGAGTCAGATTAACATTTAATAACCCTGGAGTGCACGTTGACATGTGAATTACAGGGGAACTAACAAAGACAAGCAAAATTAACAGTAAGTTGCAGCACTAGTGAGCGAAATGTAACATGACAAGCAGAATAACTAGACTCTAAACATGATTCACTTATTTTATATGCTAATTCACGTAACCAAACAAGCAGCCCGGGTATTCAGAGAAAGCGATCAAGACAAGCATGAACGCATATTAAGCTGTACCGTTTCAGAATCGATTGCACATCAATCATTCAGGTTGTAAGGAAAACAATCCGAGCCAAAAGACACTCTAGAACATTAAGTGTAACTCCTGTACATGTTCGCACAAATCAGCCCTTAATCCATTCCCTTTCTAAATCGACTCAAACACTTTCCAAATTTGACAAACCTACGACTCTTATCATGTTTCAATCACCATTAACAAGAATAAGAAGGAAATAGGTGAACCTGAATCTGCAAAATTCTTCAATTAAGTTCGTTTGAAATTGAATACAAGTGAACTCAACACTGGAATTTGAAGTAACAACAGTTGAGAATGCGACAGGATCCAAAATCCACGAACTTGGCCTCGAACAAACTTCAACTCTCAAACTCAATCGAACTCCATAATAAAAGTGAAATTTCCAAATTTTTTTTGAAGAAAACAGAGATGCGAATATCAAACTTAACAACAATAATTTTTGTATTTTTTTGTATTGTTTCTGGAAATCCAAGAACAAAGAAGAAACTCCCACAAATCTTAACTTTCCTCTCCTATTTTTTTCTCCCTCTCAAATCCAATACCCCTACATCTCTTTATATCCCTAAATCCTTTTGAACAAGGCACACACCTGATGAATGAAGGGCTGGGATCAATCGAAATTGATCCCACGTTCTCCATTAATCCAGCACATGCCTTCTAGAGGCTTCTTCACGTGAAAAAGAGGGATGAGGGTGAGAGAATATAAGAGTTCATTATTTTTCAAGCCATGTG